GTTGTTGATTATTTATGTTATCTTAATTGAGACTTCATTCCAAACTTTTGGTATTCAGACATCGTGCATTTCAATTCCCGGAGGCCCTCACGATTATGGCATCTCCAGAACAGATCTTCTCTTGGTCCAATCCAGCTGCTCTCCCCATCTTTGTTCTCTGTGGTGCTATTGTTTCCCCTCATTCAGGTCTACGGTGTGGTACTTCCACTCCACTTCCTAAATGGAAAAAGCAATTTTTCATAGTAATTTTAAAAAATATTTTCTCTTTTGCTTGTCCTTCTACTTTTGCCCTTGGGATGATTTTGCTTAGTTGGCTATCTTGACAAGATTTCTTTATTCTTTTTTTGGGGGGGCGGGGCAGTTGGGGTTAAGTGACTTGTCCAGGGTCACACAGCTAGTTAAGTGTCAAGTGTTTGGTCTTAGGCCGGATTTGAACTCAGGCACTCCTGACTTCAGGGCCAGTGCTCCATCCACTGTACCACCTAGCTGCCCTGACAAGATTTCTTTAAAACAACTTTGACTTCCACGGCTTCTCTCTGCTTTAGAAGATGGTTCCACTCAGAATTTTCCATCATCCTTCTGCATAAGGATTTATAAATAAGTCCATTTACTCACTCAGTGTTACCTTGGGCAGCTGTCTTTCTCTGTTTAGCTGATTCCAAAGGAATCTTTGGGGACTTTCTGGGATCTTTGTTGTGGCAATGAATTAAGATGGGTTAAACTTCTTTATTAAAGTATTATAAGTTGTCCATGTTCATTTCCCATTTTGTCAATTACTTGATGAAATAGTTCAGAATTGAATTGTTTCAATTAGACACTATACTTTTTTTCTCATTCTTATGTTTTACTAATTCTGATCATAACTCTGACAAGCTGGTGGTCTGTACACAGATAGCAGATTCAGGAATAAATCTCATCAATAACAAATCTTTTTTTCCTGGATGTTAAAATATAACCTCTTTTATTTTTTGCTACATGATTTGGGAATCTGACATCTAGCATCTACCAACTCTTTTCTCAAAGCAAGTGTTCAAAATAAAAAGGCACAAAGCTTCAGTTTAATTGGCCAGTCTTTTGCCTCTCTCATTCCTGCTTCTTGAACCATGCTTTACCATGTATGTCCCCTTGTACTCATCTTTTTCCATCTTTGCACTTAACTCATCAAGTATCAGAGTATATACTGATTTAATTTGGAGAGTCTTATATCAAGCTCTTGGTAGAATTTCTCTATCTTCATACTCATACTTCATACTCAGTAGCTGATCTTGGTGTATGATTTGTAATTTCTTTCATATTGGTCTTTTTGCAAATACTTATCACTGGTACTGCAATATACAATGATTAAAGAATCCCAAGAAATAATGTTTTATGTTGCTTTTGGGTATTTGATAAACACAGCCTGCTACCTCCTTTTTTCGTCATTTTTATGGGTATCTCTTTCCACGCAGTAGAAATTATTCTTCCCTTTGGTTTCATTTACAGCAAGAATGTCAAGATTGATATATTTTGGCTCCTCCAGCAACATCTGCACTCTTTGGTCACTGAACCAGGATCTCACATTTATAGTACCAATAGTCAATGTTAAGTTTAAAGAAAGTCCAAAAATTGTGTTGTGTTTAGCACTCTCTGCCCCCTTTCTCACTTGGCCACCATCACTGTAGAAGCAGGAGCAAGATGTAGAGGATTGAAGGTCATAATGTACTTTTCTTTGTTTCTTTGTTACAATAGCCAAAAACTCATCACCAAGTGATCAGCTTGCTGGTAATGTACCTCTCAGATAGGCTGGTCCTCAGAAAAAAGTTGGCCTTTTGCCCAAGACATGCTTACATGCTCTTAGCATAGCTCAGAGAATACAGGGTCACTTCAACACCACAATGAGGCCCTGGAAAACGGACTCTGTGAAGTACGTCCTTATATAAAAAATAAAGTGGAACAAATTCGGGTTACCAGGTTGCTACTAAGGACTGCAAATTTGGATAAGGAAACTGGATAAGGGAAGCTCTTTCCCAGGCATTTTCACATAAGTAAATTGGAAATTTGGCTGATACATTCCAGTCAGGCAGATAAAGTAAAATTTTAAAGTCCTTTATGATCCAAGAGAATGAGCTGGTTGGTACAAGGCAAATGTAGCAGGGAAATAATGTTTTACAGATCGTTGCTCCATGTCCTTGCTTTACTACACAACTCTATGAGCCTAAACTCCAATTATGTTTTCTAAAACTCATAAAAGCAACTGAAAATAATGTGAATTTTCTATCTTATCAGTTCTCTGAATTATTAAGAAGCATTAAGAAGATCATCATCAACAAACTTCAAGGGCCTGCCAATGTGCCAGGCACTAAGCTAAAGGTACAAGGGATTCAAAGAAAGGCAAAAACAGGGTTCCTGCCTTCAAGGAGTTTACATTCTAATGAGGGAGATAACAAGCAAGTAACTACATATATAAAAAGGTATGTGCAGTATAAACGAGATGGAATCCCAGAGGGAAGAGTCTAGCATTAAGGGTGGAGTACAAGTGGGGATGGGGTAGGAGAGGGAAAGAAGTAAAGGCCTCTAGAAGAAGGTGGGATTTGAGTTGAGTCTTAAAGCCAAGGAAGGGGTGGAGGTGAGGAGAGAGAACATTCCAGACACAGAGGAAAGTAAGTAAGTAAATAAATAAATAAAATAGCATCTATCTATAAATAAAAGTCATGGATTTGGTAGAGAGAGAACCGCAAAGAGGCCACTTGTAAATAGAAGGGAATAAGGTGTAAGCCAAAAAGAAGATTTTATAACTGATCCTGGGTGTAACAGGAACAGCTGCAGTTCATTTGGGGAGGGTGGATGCCATCAGCCCAGCACTTCAGGAAGATAATTTTGGTCAATTGAGACAAGGACACCAATTAGAAGGCTACTGCACTGGTCTGGCCATGAGGTGACAAGGGCCAGCATCAGGGTGGTATCTCTGTGCATGGAGAGAAGGAGACAAATACCAGAGACAGTCTAAGGGTAAAAATGACAAGATCTGACAATAGTTTGGATATGTGGGGTTAATGTGAGTGAGGAGTTAAGAAAGAAAAAGATTGTGAGCCTTGGTGACTGGGGAGAGGGTGGGGGTGGCCCTCAACAGAAATGAGTTAGTTTAGAAAAGGAAAGGACTTGGGGGTGGGGAAGATGAGTTCTTTTTTGGACATGTTGCACTTAAGATGTCTAGCGTACTTCCAATTCAAGATTCCAACAGGTACGTGGTGATGTGAGACTATTTGTAAGAAGAGTGATTCCAGGTGGATAAAAAGATCTGAGAGTTACCTGCATAAAAATGATCATTGGAACCATGGGAACTGATAAGATTTCCCCAAATGAAACATTACAGAAGAAGAGAAAAGGTCCAAGGGTTGACCTTTGGGAGACACCCATGGTTAATGGTGATGAACTAGATGAAGATCTAGCAAAGGAGACTGAGAAGGAGCAGATTCTCTGTCTCTTCTAAGACAGACAGGAGGAGAACCAGGAGAGAAGTATCATGAAAAGCTGGAGAACAAGTATCCAGGCGAAAAGGGAGGTTGACAGTGTTAAAGACTACGGAGAGGTTAAAATGGATGAGGATTAAGAAAAGGCCATTAGTTTTGGCAGGTAAGAGATCATTTACTTTGAAGAGAACAATTTCAGTAGGATGATGAGGACCAAAGCCAGACTGCAGAGGGTTTAGAAGGCAGTGAGAAGAAAGGGAAGTAGAGACACTGATTGCAGATGGCTTTCTCAAGGAGTTTAGGCATGAAGGAGAAGTGAAATACAGAAAGCAGCTAGCAGGGATGGTCAAATCAAGTGAGGGTTTTTCAAGGATGGAAGAGGAATGGCATTGTTGTAGGCAGCAGGGAAGCAACCACACTAGACAGGAAGAGACTGAATGTTAGGGAGAGAGATGATGGATGAGCAATCTCCGAAGGAAAAGACAGGATGCAACAGGATCAATGGTGTATGCAAAGGGGGTTTGCTTTTGCCACCTTTTCATGTGAGAGAAGGCTGTGTGACACATACATGCTCCAGCAAACAAGGAAAAGCTTCCTGGCTTCTGGAAGGCATATTAACTACCAGCTTGCTAAAGTACTTAGCACACCAGGATGGTTGGTTTTTCAGAACAGTCTAAATGTCCTCACACCAGAAGTAACGTTTTCCATCTCGTTCTCACTAAAGTCAATGTGCTGAGAAGGTTAATCGGATCAAATGCCGATTTTTAAGAGAGATGGGGGAGGGGGGGAAATCACGATGCCAAGTCGATACCCGAGCCTGGGTATTTCTTTTCACAGCTGGCGTCTCACAACGTTATTCTGGGATGGGGAGCCAGTTTCCAACACCTCCTAACCCAAAGCCTCCCGGGCCTGGATCGTGGCTACGGGGGGCACCATTTACCTTTCCCTCTCTCTGCCTCCCCCCGGGCGGAGAGCGCGGGGCCCGGGCAGCTAGGCTCAGAACCGTCCGCAGCCCCCGAGCATCCTGCAGATGCCGCGCGCCCGCCGGGCCGGGGCAAGGCCAGCGCCCCCGGGCGCCCGCGATTAGAGCGGTGGACACGGACACAGGCTTAGCGGCCGTCCCAGGAAGGAGCAATCCGCGAAGCGGCCAAGGCCAAGGGCGGGGGCTCGGGCTCGAGCCGCCCCGGGACCCCCGTGCCGCGGGGCAGCAGCGCCCCGTGATGACCCCGGAGACCTGCTCCCCTCCTCCTCCTCCTCGCCCGTCCCCGTCCCTGTCCCCAGCCCCGGCCTACCGTGCTCGCAGCACCCGCCGCCGCCGGCCGCCCTCCGGCCTGCTCGCCTCGTCCAGCCCGCAAGATGGGACTCCGGGCGGGGCTCGGGACACGCGCCCGACAGCGAGGCCGGGTCCTCCTCCGGGAGCGCGCCCTGGGGGCCGCCCCGCCCCCTCGGAATCGAGTGCGTCCGCGCCGCCGCCGCCGCCGCCGCCGCCCACTCCGGCCGCGTCTGCCTTTACGGCAACTGCGAAAGTGTCGCGA